CCCCAAAACCCCAAAACCCCTCAATGCCTTAATAATAAATAATTTGCTGATAAATTAAAAAAATAAGATTATTAAATTACAAAATAATAGATTTATCACGCTAATGTTTCTTGATTTGCAACAATAGGAAGGGGGGCGCTAATTTCTTGCTGTCTTATTACTTTTTCTGGTTTCTTAATATTTTAGCCATATTTCCTCCATTTAATTTATAATCTTATAATGACGGCTATAAAAATTATGTAACTTGGCACTAAGAATATTGAGCCTATCACTAAGCCTAGTCCTATTCCTAAAACAGTTGTGAGCACAACCACTAATACCATGAAAATCATTGCGAAAAATCTTTCAAAAACAAGAAGGATTTTAAGAACAAAGTTTTTTTCCTCTGCAATATTTTTACTCCAAAACTATCTCCAACATTATCTCTTTAATAATTTTGACCATCCCATCGATTAAAGAGCAATCATTAGAGCTGAACAGATGAAATATACTATGAAAGGTAGGAAAATAAACATGAAAGAGATTAGTATTACAGTGCAGCAAGGCTCTTTTTTGAAAAATGAGCCAGCTGTCATCTCACAAAATAAACCACCAAGTTGAGCATAGTGAAATATGCTTTTATAAGGTAGTCCACACAGCCAACACCACTCATAATGACACAAACTACATTGCATATGCTAACATCCACTTGCCTTTTCAACTAGTGTTTTACATTTGGGGCAAGGACTTATTTGTAATCCATTCTATTGAGATAAATCAATAATAACTTCACATTTCCCTTTATGCCAAATTTAGTGGCAATCTTTGCAAATTTCTTTGTTACATTCAGAACATTTCATTTTTTTACCAAATTTAGCTATATTTATAACGCCATTGCATTTAGAATTGGGGCAATGTTTTAAGTTTTTGTCTTACGCAATTCTTTTATTTTATAAGAACTAAATCTATTTCTAGTAGTATTCGTCGCTAACTAATTCTTTAATTTCTTCAGATGTGAGATTTCTTTTGCATGTTTAGATTGGGCAAATCAATTAATCAGATAAGTTACTTGCTATTCTGAACTTAACTTCTGATTCAATGCAGTTTTTACAAAAAAAATGGTTGCACAATGGGAGTACATACTTATCATTTATTAGCTCATAGCAGATTGGACAATATTCTTGAGAAGGAGATACAATCTATATATCATTGATTTCAATGTTGTATTAGTTCGGTTATTCTTCTTTAATTTTGGAATAAGACTTGAGACTTTCTTTCCAATGATGTGAATGATTCTCGTCCTAGTCTAATAGCTAATCCTCTAATCCTTTGAGATAAGTTTGGGACTTAGATAACTTAAAAAACAAATCAACGTCTCCTATTATCTTTTAGGATTTATTTTCCATTGAATTTCTTCTTTTCTCTAGTGTTTTGAATTCAATTTATGATCTTTTGAATAAGTGTCCTTAAGGCTCAATTGCTTTGGGCTATACTTGCTGTACAAATTACTTTTACATTAGAATGTGGTTTTATATAATGGCTTACTTAATTAATCAGAATTATAATTCATTTTATCTTTGCTTAATTTAAAGGAAATTAATTTCTATAACTTCCATCACGGGGTTTTGGGGTTTTGGGGTTTTGGGGTTTTGGGG